GGTAGTGCCAGAAATGTTATATAGAAGTGAACATGAAGATTTAAATCATGGCTATTTTATTGCTAACACTGCAAAGTTCTGGCAAGCTGGTAAATGTTGATCATTGTTCTGAGTCCTCTGAGGCCCATACCAGGTAATAAAAGAACTCCTGAAGATAAAATTGGATGTATACACACACACACACACACACACACACACACACACACACACACACTTATGTATCTAATGATGGTGTTAAACTTAGAATGGTTTTCTTTAGGAGTTTTTTACTTTATTATGGTGCAAAAGCAGTACATATTCAGCAGAAACCGTACTTAAGTTTGGAATTTTGCTAGCAAGATGTGACTTGAAACTCTCTTGTGATRCTGGGAAGTGGAGCTCTCTGTCAGCCCAGCAATCATGAGAGTAAACACCTAATACTCTATACTGTACTGTGTCGAAGCTATAATGCTCAGTAAGCTATGTATTTGGATGCATTAGCACTTATATGTTCAAATTCTGATGGGTTTATCAGAACACAACCCCACTGTAGGATTCAAAATGGCAAATTAGAGAAAGTCACTTTCCTGGTTGCTCCATGGTATGAAACCAAGAAATCAGACCTGCAGCTTCTCTGCAAGGTGAGAAGGAGAGACTTTACTGGGGATTAATTCTGGACATTCAAAGCAGATTGGGGATACAGGAGAATGGATATAACAGAATAAAGAAGAAATCCCCAGTGCCGCCAAATTCCTCCCTGTGCAAAAATAGTGGAGGGATATATTAAATAAAGGAATCTGCATTTTAAGGAGGTCTGAGGCATTCCTGGTAATGGAGAGATCAGAGATCAAAGACTAATCTGAAAGGTGTATGCACAATAGACTGCCCAACTAACCTAAAGGGTGTCCTGCACAATGTCTCTCTTTAAAAATTTTTTTTTGTTGTTGTATATGGACAGAATGCCTTTATTTTATTTGTTTATTTTTATGTGATACTGAGGATTGAACACAGTGCCTCACACATCTAGGCAAGTGCTCTGCCACTGAGCCACAACCCTAGCCCCACAAAATCTCTTTATCCTGGCTGCTGGGGAGAACAGAGGAAGAAACCATTTTGCAATTGCAGTGCAGGGGGCTAACAGATGGGGGAACCAAATCCTGGCAACTGTGCCTATCTTGAAATAGAGTGTGCCCACGTGACCAGGAGAAGATCAAACATGGTGAGGGGTTTTTACAGGGGAATACTCATGGGGGAAACCTATTTGGTTTCCCATACCCTCTACTCTGGCTGCTTGAAAGATGGTTTGGGAAAGATGCCCCTGACCAGGAATTCAAAAGGGCTGGTGTCTCGAGGGGCAATTTTTTTGTGATGCATGCAGTAGAGGGTGAGAAATAAAGAATGTCCACACACTTCTGCCCCTTTCAATGCTTTATTCACTCAAGTTGCTCAATACAATTTCACTCTATAGGTTCCTAATCAAGAAAACAACAATCCTTAATGCTAGGCACTGCAATAGACATAATCAATTCACAGCAAACAATTCTAGATTAATTCTAAGCACTGCAAACTTACTTAATCATGAAAGGCTAATGACAGACATTCCCTCTGCATGCTAAGTTCAAAAGTCTTAAGCCTTACGTCCAGCAAATTCACACTCACTCAGACAGCGGTGATCAGGTCCGGAACCAAGGCAGGCTTCTCCTGGCGTGGAGTGGACAAAAGGTTGGAGAGAGGGTTGTATGGAGAAGTTGTGGCTCTCACCAGGGTCTGATAAGGTGGTAGAGTTTGAGGGGACTGAGAATCACATAAAGGATCAGGAAAATGATGAGAAGTGATGGGATGTCAGTTCAGGCCCTCGGGCTCCAGCGCATCCTTGTTTCGGCTGGCTGAATCCCTATTCATTAGCTCTATTATTTATACTAAATTTTGGGGCTTTTGACCCCCCTTTCAATCCTTATCAGCTACCACTGGATTTCTCCATGACATCATTTACCCTGGGGTCAGAAACATCTGGTCTGGTGGTTTCCACACTGATCTTCTCGCCTTTCCCTCTTATCCGGGCGAGGACAGCCTGCCAGAGGCTTCACTCTGTTTATCAGGGTGAGGGAAAGTGACTTGTTTATGTCTGAGGGCCATACTGGAGGGCTCCATTAGGTGTGCCTACTGAGACTGCAGGATTTAAACTGGAGTTTTAAAAATGGAGTTGCTTAGGCTCAGGCCTAAGGCCATCCTCACAGCTGGGGAGGAATTGATTGAGTTCAGGGACAATCTGAGATTCCAGAAAACATCAGGTTCACAAGTGACTGAGGGAAACAAGGATTGGCTTCTCCACTGCATAAGGGAAAACCAGGGGTTTCCTAGGAGACAGTCTCCCAGCATTGTCCAGCAACTGTTTGGCCTGGGAGGTGTGCTGATTTAAAAATTTCAGACCAATCACCATTCAAGGAAGAACCTGGATCCTACCTAAGCCTAAACCCTTCCCCCAGGAGCCCTACCTACAGGATTTCCCTCCACACTCCAGCAACCCCACCTAACATAGCTGAGAGGGGAAGCCGAGAATATTTTGAACTCCAGAAACAATTTCTTAATGTTTCCTTGATCCCATTTCCCCCCTTTTCTTTTTCTCTATGTTTAATTGTGACCTGAATGGTTCATGGACACTTATACACATTCATATCTGTTTCTTTTTTTCTCATTCCTAGTATTTTTTGAAGGCAGTTATTTTTCATGGATCAGTATTTTGAGGACTAAGATATTTGAGTAATATATATCAGTTTTGTTCTTGTACTCCTTTATTTTTATGAAATTTTTATTTTATGCATTTTTCTCTCTCACTCATCTGTTTCTCTTTTCTTCTGCTCTATGATCTTTTATGCTACCTTTACTTTTTTAATATTTATTTTTTAGTTGTAGTTGGACACAATACCTTTACTTTATTTATTTTTATGTGGTGCTGAGGATCAAACCCAGGGTCTTGGCACGTGCTAGGTGAATGCTGTACTGCTGAGCCACAACTCCAGTCCCTCTACCTTTGCTTTTTACTTCTATTTTATCTCCTCCTTCCTCACAATTATCAGATCCTACATCACTTCTTTTCTATCCTTATTCATCATTTAAAATTGTAAACCTTATGTAAATTTGCTGTTTTTACCACRGCCAATAACTGATCATTTAATTTATGTTTATTGTGATGATTAATGTTACAGAGACCAAAGCAGGAACCATTTGGTTTAATGCTGCAAGTTATTTTCATTGGTTCTTTTTATTATTTGTCTCCTTCTAAATAGTGAGGTAGTGTAAAACTTCAGGGATACTATAGGTCCACAGGGTAGAAACTCTGTTCCCTCGAAACTACACTGTTAGATGGGTAGACACACAAACAACATGAAAAAGCAAGGGAAAAAAAATTACCCCAGATAAACCAAAATAATTCAATAGCAGAATCCATCTATAGCAGAGTGGAAGAAATATCAGAGAAGGAATTTAGAATTATCATAGTTAAACTGATCTGTGAGGCAAAAAGATGATGTAAGGAGTGAGATCACAAAGAAAATACAGGAAGTGAAAGATTACTTCAGTAAAGATGTAGAGACTCTGAAAAAAAAAACAAGCAGAAATCCTTGAAGTGAAGGAATCAATCAACCAAATTAAAAATTCAATGGAAAACATGGAAGAACAAATCAACACCACAAGTAGTAGAAGACATAAAATACTTGAAATCAGAGCTGAAACCAAGGAAACTGAAACAAACAAACAAACAAACAAACAAAAACCAAAAAAGCACAAAGAAACAAAAAGCCAAGCTTCCAAAAAAAAAACCAACCAACCAACCAAACAAACAAACAAACAAAAAAAAAAAACAAAATCAGATTTCTAACATTCATGATGAAAAAACCACAAATGACAGAAACTATTTTGAAAATCCATACTCCAGCAAAATAGAAAATCATGAATATGACTGACCCATATTGAATTAGGAAGACAGAAAATTTAAACATCAATATACTAATTTAAATAATTTTGATGCTGCTCTACATTCAGTCTCCAGAAATTCATTAAAATCACCATGGAAATGTTTGCAGGAGGTACTTGCTCCAGTGACTTCTGCTTCAGTTAAGCTGAATTAAACTGTGAGAAACATCTACTCAAGTCCTTTTCCATATTCCATTTAGTTGCTTTAATTTTCTTGAGTTGTAGTGGTTCTTTATATATTAATTCCCCATAATGCATGATTTGAAAATATTTGCTATCATTTTATAGATTTTTTCCCTTTCTTGAATGTTTTTTATGCTGAAAAAGTCTTTTAATTTTAATGAAAGCCAATTTACCTGTTATTCTTTTTTTTTGCTCTTACTTTTGATGCCTTATCAAATAATCCAAGGTCACAAAGACTTAGCCCTATTCTTTTTTTTTTTAATCAGCATCTTCTATTTTAGCTCCTATACTTAAGCTTTTAATCTAGTTGGAGTTAATTTTTATATATAGTATGTTGTAGAGGTCTAACTTCACTCTTTTACGTGTGATAATTAAGTTGTTTTAGTAGCATTTGTAGAAGGGACTATTGTACAGACAGTAGAACTTTTTGTAGACTTGTTAAAAATCTTGTTGTCCAGAGATGAGTTAATTTAGCTCTCAAATCACATATCTATCCCGTTGCTCTCTGTTTCTATTTTATGCAAGTACCACACTGGATTAACAYAGCTCTGATARTGAAAGGTTAATAAAATAGGTACTTGTCACTCCGTTTTTCTATATGCTTAACAAAACACTGTTGAAATCTTAATAACTGTTTGCTAATCTTGTTCCCATAATGTGCTATCCCCAACTGTGAATTGTTTGCTAATCTTGTTCCCAGGATGAGCTGTCCCCAACTGCCAAACTACAAAATGTAACTTCTCTCCCTGCCCTCTTCAAGGAAAGTATATAAGCTCTGCTTAAGCTGTTCTCAGGGCTCTATCTCTCTTTGCTATAGAGAGCTCGGGCCCCAGCATGCTGGTCTCCAAATAAACCCACCCTTCTGCTGTTACATAAGACAGTCTCTTGTGGTCTCTTCCTCTGACATTTCGCCGGACCCTAACATTTGGTGCGTTGGCCGGGAACTGCGCATCGCCGGACAGGGAGACCTCAACAAGACTCCTTTAGAGGGGTAAGTAAGGTGGCTTTTCTTTCTTCTTCTTCTTCTCCTCCTCCTTCTTCTCCTTCTTGTTTTTCCTTTGCGATCGCTCAGTCTGGTTTTTGGCTCAGCGAAGAGCGTAAGCTCTCAGAACCTTCTGGTTTTTGGCTCAGCGAAGAGCGTGAGCTCTCAGAGCCTTCTGGTTTTTCGGTTTGGGTTGGCATAGTGTGGTTGCTAGCGGAGAGCGTGAGCTCCCCCTGGCGGTGGTGGACAGACGTGTCCAGAAGCTACAGACCACGTCTTTCAAGGGACACTTTGAAAGACTCTGGGGGGGACGGAAGTGCCCCCATCTGGGAGGGACGGAGGTGCCCTCATCTGGTATATTCTGCTGCCAACCCTTCTGGTTTTGCCGGCAACTATTCTTTCTCTCAGGTTGAATTCACTGTTTTTAATCTTTGCCTCTGAACTTGTGTTACACGTTTACTGTTTACTGTGTGTCCATGTTTGTGTCACGTTTGTATTGTCCCTGTCTTTGTTCAAGTAACTTTCATTATGGGACAGAGCCATTCCATGCCTCTGTCCCTGACCCTTGATCACTGGACTGAAGTCTGCTTAAGGGCTTAAAAAATCTTTCTTCTTCAGTAAAACACCAGACCTGGCAGACTCTCTGTGCCTCAGAATGGCCCACCTTTGGAGTCGGATGGCTCCCAGAAGGATCTTTCTACTTACCACTAATTTGAAAAGTCAGAGATATTGTCTTTGTCTTTCAGCCGGGACCACATAGCCATCCAGATCAACAGCCATATATCTTAACTTGGCAGGACCTCTGCAAATCTCCTCCTCCATGGGTGAAGTCTTTCCTTGTCCCTGCCCCCGCTCCTACTCCTCCCCCCACGATTCTATCTCTCAAACCCTCTGCTCCTTCTCCACCCTTTGTTCTCCCTGAGTCTCAAGATTTGACTCTGCTGGACTCTCCTCCCTTTCCTTATCCCCTGCTTTCGTTCCTCAACCCCCAACACCCTCTAAGTGATTCCCCTGCTGCTGACTCAGCTTCTCCACCATTGGAGGAGGTTAAGCCAGCCCAGCACCCTCCAGATGACTTCCCCAAGGCACACACAGCCCCTCCTCCCCTGGAGGAAACTGGCCCAACTAAAAAAACTCAAAGAACTCACCGGCATTTTCACACCAGCCTACTTGGGATGACTGCCAACCACTCCTAGGGACTCTCTTCATGACAGAGGAACAAAAGAGAATCCTCCTGGAAGCGAAAAAAAGTATCCTTGGATCAGATGGGCAACCGACACAACTTCCCCTTGAACCGACCCAACTGGGACCCCAACACCTTTGAAGGTAGGGAGCATCTGTCCACTTATCGCCGGGCTCTAATAGCAGGTCTCCGAGCAGCCGCTAGATGGCCAACTATTTTGGCCAAGGTAAGAGAGATTATTCAAGGGCCTAATGAATCTCCCTCTATGTTTCTGGAGAAAATTATGGAGGCATATAGGAGATATACTCCTTTTGATCCTCAGGTAGAAGATCAAAAGACATCTGTCACAATGGCCTTTATTGGGCAAGCTGCCCTGGATATTAAAAAAAAAGTTACAACGCTTAGATGGATTACAAGATATGACTTTGAGAGATGTAGTCAGAAAAGCTGAGAAGGTATACTATAAGAGAGAAACTGAGGAAGAGAAGGAACAAAGGAGGGAGAAAGAAAGGGAGGATGAAAGAAGCAAAAGACAGACTGAGGGAGGCATTGACTAAGGTCCTGGTCACAACAACAAATAGGCCAGAAGTTAAGAGACAGGGAAACAGAAAGGGATACCTGGGCTCACGCCAGAAGCCACCTCTGGCCTCAGATCAATGTGCCTACTGTAGAGAAAAAGGACACTAGGCCAAAGAGTGCCCTAAAAAGAAACAGCCACGCTAGCCAGCCAGTCTAACTCTGGAGGATGACTAGGAAAGTCGGGGCTCGGATCCCCTCCCTGAGCTCAAGGTAACTTTTAAAGTGGAGGGAACCTCAGTAAACTTTGAAGTGATACAGGGGCAATATACTCAGCCCTTAAGGCCCCCTTGGGCCCTCTATCAACTAAAAGGTCTCAAGTTCAAGGGGCTAATGGCAGTAAATATTGGGCTTGGACAACTAAGAGGACCATGGACCTGGAGAAAGGGAAAGTCCATAACTCCTTCCTCCTTTACTGAAATTAAGCCAGCAAGGTATGGACTTAAATATCTCCTAATCTTTGTAGATACATTTTCAGGATGGATTGAAGCCTTCCCCACAAAAAAAA